GCTTCTTGAATGGCTAGGAAGTTGAAGTAGGGCTCTGTGATGATGATTGTTGATTCCGAACAATCTAGATTCATGACATCTTTCCCAAAGACATGATCCCAAACCTGCCGCTGTACATCCCAGTTTACTAAGTATCCCTGAGGAATTAATAAAAATATGTTTAATTAATAATGATGCTCCAGCATAACTTTAAATTTTATATTATTGGTTCACTGCTTTTCAAACTGTAAAAGCACATAGAGGTCCCTCATTACGAGCTCTATAATTAATTCATTAACATTATTATTATTAATACTAGGCTACATAGATATTTGTATAGTTTACATTCTATTGTGTTAGAATGGAGATTACAAAAATTTCATAGAATAAACAGTAAACTTAGGTAACAAGAAGGCATGTTTAGGTTACTAATTGAAATGATTAACTTACCTTCTGAAAGGGTAAGACATAGAACAGAGATGACAGATCCTTACAATCATCTATTTGGTTGCAGATGTACTGTTTTCTTCGTTCACTCTTCGCTTTCATTATGCAATTTGGAAAGCAACTTGGTATTAAAAATTATAAAATACTACTTCAAAAATTGTATATTTAGCTATTACTTACTAATTTAATGATTATATCAATTTTATTAGGAAATTTAATTTGTTCTAAAAAATACAATCTGCAAGTAAATTGAATAAAATAAGTTGGTAGTTTCACTTGTTTAAAAATTAATACCTGAACCGCCAAATGACTTAATTAGTTCATCTATGGAAGATGTGAACTAATAAAGTTCAACATATTGAATCAAAAATGGCTTGTAAGTTGTATCACTGTTTTCGGAGTTTGTTTCATACTATCTTATGTCAAACTTATCAGTGAACTCCATGATAAACAAGTGTCTATTGCAATGTTATTTAATTAATCAACTCCCTGAATTAATCAATCCTGATATTTGTTATAATGTCCTGCAGTTTCGGAAGTTTGCAAACTCTCTCTGCCAAGAAAATTCCTGCAGTTTGCAAACTCTGCAAATCTTGCATTGTTTTAAATTTTCAAACAAGTTGCACACTGTGCAAGGAAAGGTTGCACAATTTAGTTGATCTGTGTATTTTTATCCTATTTTATATCACAGTGATTCTGCACAATTTTCTACAGTAGCTCGCCGAGTAGACCGCTTTGTGTGTGCCTCATTTACGGGACATTTCGATATTGCATGGCGAAACTCCAGGCCTAGGGCCTAGAAATTAAAGATATACTTACTT